AAGTGTCCAATTTAGTCAGTTTATTTATTAATTTCTTTAAAACGGAAACTTTTTAAAAAAGATTTTATTTATTTATCTTTAGAGGGGAAGGGAAAGAGAGAGGGAGAGAAACATCAATGTATGGTTGCCTCTCGTGCGTCTCCTGCTGGGAACTGGCCTGCAACCCAGGCATGTGCCCGGACTGGGAATTAAACCTCGATCTTTTGTTTCGCAGGCCCACACTCAATCCACTGAGCTACACCAGCCAGGGCTTTAGTCATTTTTAATATATTCACCAGGTTATACAGCCATCACCACTCTCCAATTCCATAACATTTCGTCACCCTCAGAAGAAACCCTGTCCCCATTAGCGACCACACCCACCTCATCTTCCCTCCCTCCAGCCCCTGGCATCCATTGATCCGCCTTCTGTCTCTGGATTTGCCTATTCTGAACACTGCACATAGATGCAACCATACAATACGTGGCCCTTGATACCTCGCTTCCTTCACTGAGCGTAATGTGTTGGGGGATCACCCATGTTCTGGCACGTGTCGACACTTCATTTCTTGTTATGACGGAATAATACTCCATTCTATGGACTTACTATATGCTATTTATCCATTCATCAGTTAATGGACAGTTGGTTTTTTTCTACTTCTTTCACTTTTAGAAAATATGGCTATATTTTTTAAAGGTTGTAAATTATCTGGTTAGCAAAAGAGTATAGTAACACATGTGCTAATACACATATACATATGCATGCGTGCGTGTCTTGAGTCTCCTGGAAGTTGGGGTGGGGGGATCAGTACCCTGCCCTCCATGAACACTAAGCTCAAAATTTTTGATTTTGAAGTAAGGTTACCACCTTACTTCCCACCCCCATAACATTTTTTTAGGAATTTAGAATCAGGAAGGTCTCAAAAGAAGTATTTTAGTTATCTTTAGTGGTACAAGGTGATTCAGGAAATGCTGAAACACAGAGGTTGAGTTAATTTGCATGTCAGAAGGTGATTTGATGGATGTGTGCAACATTCTTTAGGTCTCAGCAAAAAAAATAAAAATAAAGGGTTAACTAAGTCAGCAAGTTTTGATTTTTTTTAACAAAAATGTTGTAATGGTGGTTTCAGGTTACAAAGCATATAAAGTCACAGCTTAATCAAGTATAAACAACCCTGCAAGTCAGTAAATATACTTTTCTCTACTATATTTCAACCATTTGCCATGATTTCTCCTGAAATCCAATATGTAAAGAATGTTTAATCCAACACAAGCTGGTTTGGGGCTTATTGCCACCGCTCTCTCTATGGTTTCACTCTTAAAACTGGGAGTCCCAGTCTGGACCCAGCGTTCCCTTCTGAGCCTGATGGCTTGAGCATCACCAGTGGTGCCTCTTATCCCTTCAGCCCTAGCTTTTCAAAGTGATAATGCTCCATTGCTACTGTGGATGCAACACACGCATCAAGTACTTGTGAATTGAAGTGCAGCCTAGCACTCCATCAGGAAGCAGGTTGGTCCCAAGCCTTTAGGGAAGCAGAACAGATAAAAGTCTTGGAGACTTTTATGGAAGCAGAACAGACTGGCCTGGAGTCCAGTCTGCCAAAGAAAGCCGTGCTGGGTGAGAGGACTTCCGGCCTTCCCGATCATCTTTCTTTTATTCAGATAGCATTTGTGATACTCTGTGTGTCAGGCCCTAGGTCGGAGCTGTTTGTAAAGATAAGTGAAGGTCAAAGCCATACCCTTGAAAACTTCACAGTGCAACAAGGGAATGGACACTTGATCTATCAGTATAATGCAGAGGTCTAATGAGACGTGTGTTATTGCTGCTTCAGGGTGCAGTTCCTCCCCACACATCACAAGTGACATCACCAAGATACTCCAGTTCTGCTGTCTTGATGGAGTACGTATGAAAAGAAGAATGGATACAGAGGACCACAGATCTCATTTTCTCATTAGTTTGATCCTTATTCCAGAAAGGGGCTAACAGCTGGTACAAAGATTCATTTAGCTTCATTTCACGCAAATTATGAATACTTGGAGCGGGGCATATTTTTGTATGATGAGTTCCAGCAATGGGAATATTTTTAAAGCAATTGAATAATTATATTTATTTATGAATCTAGGAGCTAAAACCTCTTATCTTCATTTTCATTGTTTTCATTTGAGCTAATACAAGCGTGCGAGTTTCAGAACAAACATATTTTTACCACATAGCAGACCACAGAAAAAAGTTTAAAATGTCTTAAAAGCCTATTTTCCCAACTGATTATTGTACTTAAAAATCAATACTATCTCACAGGTGATATGCCTTCTACTTGCTCCAAAGGGCAACAGTTTTATGTAACTTTTTGTTAGAACGTGCCTCAGTCTCTGATAGCAATCTCTTGTTAGACAACTCCGGTTGCACAAGACTCCCCTTGGCTCCCCTCCCCATTAGCTACTGAGACCATAGAAGACACAGGAAGCCTCTTGTCTGAGCTCCATTTAACTCTTCAAGGTCTGATGAAGGACTTGGAACAAAAACAAAAATACAATGAATTACCTACTTGAATCTGCAATCACTTTGAGATAGAAACGGTATCATGGGAACAATGAACCAAACACCAAACACATTATTTCAGACTTGCGCAGAGATCAAAGGTAGAAATCCGTGCCGAAAGTAAGATTTCGTATTCATTTTATTATTATTTTTCGACGTGTCTTTAAAATCGCCTTTTAAAAACTGATGTATCCACTGCAGAGTAAGCACATGACATGAAGGGGAATGAGTCCAGAATTACAGTTCTACTCCTTCTGGGCTCGCTCATGGACCAAGTGTGCAGATAGGTCCTTTCCACCATCCCGTATTCTCCACACCCACCCCTTGCAACATTAAACTGCCAAACACCACCCAGGAACGGATTTCCTATTTCGTCATTCAAAGCCATTATCTTGTTCCCGTGCTATCTTGCCAAACTGGTTTCCCTCCGCATACACTTCTGAGACTCGATGCAGCAAGATAGCAAGTCTAGACTCTTGGAATAAACAGACAGTTGGGTCTCAAAGTTGAAGCAGAGGACCAAAAGCCAATAGTCTCCTTTTTAAAGTTTTATTTTCCTTTTCCGTGTATTGCCTAAACTCTTTGGAATCGTCAACAGCTTGTCAAACTCCAAAGCGTTTCTCGGTGTTTTAAAGGGCACCCATTTAGTGGCATTGCGCAGCAGCTGTCCAAGAACTGCGGGGCAAAAGACCAGCAGTTTGGGAAAGAAAATGTGCCATATTCAATGGAACGTCCCGCCTTTGCCTAACTGGCCAGTCACCAAACCCAGTGAACTCAATCTTTGTCACCATTAGCAATCACTAGTATATTCACCTGTACAGAGCGCTGGGCTCTTGGTGTTGAGGTCTGGGGTGAGGGTGTGGGTGGATGAAGCCTCCAGTTTAGTTTCAGAGGATGTCTTTCCCTCTAACCAGGGAGCTGTGGAAATGGGAAGGTCTCCACTCGTACCTCCAATTGTCTGTCTATCCATAACCTCCAGAATTTCGTGTTTTAAATGTGAGTCATTTGGTCACTGGTTTACAGGGTAAAGTTTGTCTAGAAATAACTGTCAAGACAAACTTGGTGAGTAACCAGGGATAAAAGGCGATGTTATCTCGGAGGGTTGCCTTTTAGTGGCATGCCCTAATTACGTTATTTAGGTCAACGCAGCCCCGCGTTAGCATCTCCCAAACACAGAGGATATTGAGTATGGGTCCCCAGACAGCCGCTGCGGTAACTGATAGTGGCTTTAGACAGTGACTACCGAGAGGAGGAGGAGGAGGAAACTCGACTGGCAGCACAAAGCTTGGGGAAAGTCCTGGGGCCGAACACACACAACTCTAGGTGAGGCCAGGGCCACGCGAGGAGTGACTGAGAGACTAATAATAGCAGTAAGTGGGGACAAAGGTAAAAATTCCCCAAGTCCCTGTTGCATTCTCATTTCACTATAAATCTTTTTGATAGTAAATACAGGGCAGTGAGGGGAGTCTTGCCTGGACTGAATCCTCTCAAAGGTGCTCGCGCCAGAATGAACGTTCACAGTCAAAACACGAACTTAGCTGCCTCTCTGATGCTTCTAAGGAAACGCCTCCTTCTAACAGCTTCAGGAACTTACTTCAAATCCCAGGCCTCTGTCTTTCATCTCTCTGCTCTTAGGGATCTGGGTAGTGCTGTGTCTGGTGGTGGTTTGTGCAGCCCTGGCTGGTGTAGCTCAGTGGAGATTGAGCACAGGCCTGTGAAGCAAAGGGTTTCAGGTTTGATTCCCAGTCAGGGCACATGCCTGGGTTGCAGACCAGGTCCCCCATTGGGGGCACATGAGAGGCAACCACACATTGATGTTTCTCTTCCACTCTTTCTCCTTCTCTTCCCCTGTCTCTAAAAATAAATAAATAAAATCTTTTTTAAAAAAGAAAATAACATGTATGATAGTTTCCTGTTTGGCCATTTAAACGTATGCCTGTGCCAGACAGAATCTGATCCACTCCGCTCAGTGGTGGTGTCCTGTCACTGAAGTGCCCGTTATTTACAACAATTGGCCGGCCACAGTCTCGCGGTTCTTCACCACCGGCCCCTCATTCTGACCCTCACTGTGCTCATGGCACAGGTAGTGTTGTTAATACCTCAAACTGGAGGCTGGGGTTTATTTCTTCAGAGCATAGAATTATTTTTTATCAGAAACTCACAAAGTCTCGTAAATGTGGTCATCATTATCATCCTCTCAATCATTTTTGGAGCCAGCTTTCACTTTACTGCTGATTTTTAAAAATCCTGTATATTATCATTTATTGTATAATGACTGGCATGGTGTTTAAAAAAGACAAAACCAAAAACATGCCAATAATAAAATGAAAAACATTTAATACTTCAAACTCTCTTTTTCTTTCTCTTTAATATTTTTTTTTAATTTTTTAAAAATTTACTTATTTATCTTTAGAGGGGAAGGGAAAGACAGAGGGAGAGAAACATCAATGTATGGTTGCCCTTTGCGCATCCCCTGCTGGGAACTGGCCTGCAGGGAACTGGCCTGCAACCCAGGCATGTGCCCTGACTGGGAATCAAACCGCGATTGTCTGGTTCGCAGGCCTGAGCTCAATCCACTGAGCTACACCAGCCAGGGCTCAAACTCTCTTTTTCTAATTTGGCTTTGGTTCTCTTGCCCTGCCCATACTTGACCGTCTTGCCTTGGAGACCTCTTTCTGTCTCATTTACTGCAGAGGTGGCCACTGGTCTCCGGGCATGTCCGTTTGTGGTGCTGAGCGTCTGAGAGACCATGGAATTGGTGACATCATTTCCACATATTAGAACCCTTCACGAAGCAAACTCCAGCTCCAGAATGGGCACCAACAGTTCCTGAATCCGTGTATATAGTTGGGGGGGAAGTCTATTCTGCAATCATCCCTTACTTTTTACTCTTGTAAACTGAACTAATTTCAATTCCTTTTTCCTTAGAGATGTTAGCCATGTATGGATCCTTCGTTTTAGTTAGGACCTATCAAAATGCTTAGAATAAAACAGTGAGAAATGTTTTTAGTATTGCAATACGCTTGCCTAAGGCAGGAGAGAGCAACGACAGCCCTCAGGCCAAATGCAGCCAGTGGCCTCTTTGTGTACAGAGGGTTCTACATTTTTAAAGGTTAGTGGGTTGGGTTGAAAAAACAGTCTGTCCTGACCCATGTGGCTCCGTTGGTGGGGTGTCACCCCACCAAGTGAAAGGTCACTGGTTCGATTCCAGGTCAGGGCACACACCTCAACTGCGGATTTAATCCCTGGTCGAGCTGTTTCTCTGTCATGTTTGTGTTTCTCCCCTCCCCTTTCTCTCTCCCTTACCCTCTCTCTAAAAAATAAAGACTTTTTTTTAATCTTAAAAAAACTAACAAACAGAGTTTATGAAATACAGATGATGTGTCCCATTAAATTTTACAATATCTACTATCTGGCCCTTTACAAAAAGAGTTTGCTGATATCTAGCTTGGGTTAGAATCATATGCTAAAGTGTAAAGCCTTGTATCTGGAGCAGCTTGTACCTCTTTGAACTTTAAACATGAACTCTTAATGGGGACTGCTTGCTGTTCAAGGGTGAATTATACTGTAATTTATTCCCATTAAGTATTTAGTTGATTAGATCTTTTTCTAGTGATTCTCAGTTCTGGCTGCATTTTTAAATCATCCGGAGAGCTTTAAAAAAGACTGCAGCCTAGGCCCTGCATCAAAGGTCCCGACTTCACTGATCTGAAAGGGGAGCCTGGGCTTACGTGTGTCTTACATGTTCTGTAGGTGGTTCTAATTGTTCAGGCACATCTGAGAGCCACAGGCCTACACCCCTGGAAGGTTTGCTCATGGACTGACAATTAGACCACATTCTTAGGCAGTTTTTATTCACATTTTTCATTAGAAATGTAATAAAGATGCATCATACAAATTGCTCTTTAATTTCAAGACAGAAGTGTTGCTCAGGGAAATTTTAACTGAGACCATTTTTAAATGTGAAGAGCATAGGAAACAGATCATGCAGAGCCCAGAGAGATAGAATTTTAAAAGACAGGCACTGAAAGGAGCATGCTGCTGGGGGGAAAAAAAAGAAAGAAAAAGAAACCACTCAGAATTTCAATACACAAATCACTGAGTAGATTTCTTGCTGTCTGGGTAAATGTATCTATTTTCAAAAGTGCTATTAACATAAACAGGGCAGTAAATCTGGGGCACCAGGCTTTTTTTTTTTTCTCAAAGTTGTTAAGAAGAATTATATCAGTCTGCAGGTGTCACACGCAGTTACTCAGAATCAGAAAGAAGGCTGATTGGAGGTTAGAAGATCTCCATCTATCTATCTTTTTGCAACCAACCACGTCCAGGCTGTTTATTTAATACTTCCTCTTGCTAATGAAGGTACTGGGGGGGGGGATGGGTCGGGCTTTCCCACCTCAGCATCGGGACTGCAAGATTTGAATGTGCCCTGGTGCTGGCTTCACTGACCACAGCAGGTCCCCCCAGCAGAACCTGAGCAGTAATAACCGGTAACAAAAGAGTGTGCACCCTCTGACACTTTTTCCCTCCAGTTTCTTTCTTCTTTTCCCCCATTTACCAATGTTATTTTTTTCCCCTCTTCTTTTTACATTTTCCCAAACCAGCAAGTGCGGAGGCAAGACACATCAAAGCAGAGATGGGAAGTGAAAGAGCCCTCGTTCTGGACAGATTAGCAAGCAATGTGGCAAAACGAAAAAGCTCAATGCCTCAGAAATTCATTGGTAAGAATAAAACCCTTTTTCCTGCTGTTGTTAGCAGATAGTTTGAATGAGATAACATAGGATGCTTACTACACAGGCCCTAGCTTAATCTCTGTTAAAATAAGGTTAATTGGTTTTCCTTTGTACATGTTTATTCTTCGGGATTCATTTTGATAGCTAGAGCAAATAGAATAAAAATACTTTAACTAAAGAAGCTTTGTGACTGAAGATGGGAGTATTTGGTATCCAGTTTCCTACATGGAGTTAGCGTTAAAAATGCTGTTCCTTCCTCTTTATTCTGAATGACAATATGTTGCATGAGTTTAGGCAATTTACACCAGTAAGATGTTCAAGATAACATTGTTGTAATCTTTTGTAATTATATTTTACAAGTTGGTTCCGTTATCATGCTTAAACTTTTCTTCATGCTCCACAATGTAGTGCCATCTTCTTTTGAATTTGATTCGGAACTGACTTTAAGAGAAAATGGGTGGGGAAACATAGATTTAAATAATAAGATTTGGTCTAGGCATTTCTTTCTCTGGAGTTCATTTTTAGGCCCCTGGTTTTCACAATGTCAAAAAAAAAAGCAACATAAGGAGATGGCTAAGAAGTAACTGTGTACTAGGACTGCCAAAGGGCAGAGGCATTTTGCTGAACTCTCCCAGATGCTTACACAAATACGACCATGATATTTGAACTAGATTTGTATTTGTGCAGTAGGCAACTGAATTGAACGGATCAGATTTGCTGTAAACTGAAAGTCAGTGCTATTGAACAAAAACAGTTCTCACGTGAAAATAACCTCCCTTAACTGCTGTTTTAGAAATCCGTCGGTCTGGTTTTCCAAAACTACTTGTTGCTGCTGCTTTCTGATTCCAGTCCTTTGTGTTTATTCTTTTCAGTAGCTTTTACAGCTATGAAGGGTCTATCCGGTTTCTTAAATCCATTTACATTTTATTCTGGTCTCGATCACTTTTTTTACCGGCTGACATTTTGTGTGCGTTATAGAGATATATTGAAAGAACCCATTAGTTCAAAATGAGCTACCTTGGTACTGATGCTTGTTTACCTTGATCAGCTGAGAAGTGATCGCCCCCTTTTAGCCCCTTGAATAAATCAAGTTGTTGCATTTCAGCTCAGAAAGGCCACCCCGCCCCATCTTCCCTGTCCTTGGTGAGAAATAGCAGGGAGCATGTTGTGACTTCCATACGGAGTTAGGCACAGCGAATCAGTCGTCAGTTCAAGACATTATATTAAGACATTGCTTGTAGCTCTTCTGAGCTTTACTTATGTGAAGTCCTGGAGTCCAAAAGAAAGCTTCTGTTGTTGCTTTATGCCGTGAGTGTAGCTTCATTCGGGGAAAGTTTTTACCCTAGAAATGGCTGCAGCTGAGGTGGGGAGGGACTTGGGGGGAAATGGGCAAGAAAAAAATGTAGAGTTAATTTCAATACAATTATGGTCAATGCATTTTGATCTAAGACCCAGTTCTTATAGCTGCCCAAGGCCTATTGTTGACCTCAAGCCTTACTTAATATAATAAAAGTTTCACGGGCATTTTCGTGGATTTACAACCCCGTGTTGCACAGACCCAAGTCCATGCCATGTTGCTCATAGCATCAGGGATTCATGTTCCATTGGTCAGTGACCACTGTGACCAGAGGATTTTCGTGCCTCCATTTCCAGACTCACAAGAGATGCTGATCTTGTACGTTGATTTCTTTCATCTTCTGAACCATCACATTCTCTCGGTGTGGCATCAGGAAGCCCGGTATCATTAGCGCTTGATTTGAGCTGAGGTAGCAACTTCAGGGCTTCAGGGCCCAGAATAACCGGGGGGAATTTTTTGGGGGGGTAAATTGTGGTACAGTGCAGTAGGATGAACCCTGGATTAGAAGCCAAAACAGCCCGGTTCCGATTGCAGCTCAGTCATTTCTGAACTGTGTGTGCGTTTAGACAAATCACATAACTTTTCTGGGCCTCTGTTTACTCACCTGTGAAGTGAGGAGACTGAGTAGGTGGCAAAGTGATCAGGGAGGCCCCTCCCTGCCCTGTCGCTCTCCGAGTCGGTGAGACAATTTAGAAGAGACAGCAATTATAACTCTCCTTTGTGTCTACCAAGCCCACTGTGTGATTTCAGGTAATTCTTTACTCGAGCGTGTGCGGCCATGATGCTTATGTTAGGAACCATATCATGCATTTCAGGGTTGGTTTTTTTTTTTAGAAAGACGAAGCTGTGTTAGCTCCACAGCCATATATTTGACCGAGGGCATCACCTCTTGCTCACTCACCTTTTTGTGCATTTGTTCATCACGGGATGGTTAGAGAGCTCCTGCCACGCATGCGCTGTTCCTGAGCACTGTTCTCATCTTCCAGCACTAGCTTATGTCCTACACCTTTGTTGTAGGGACCTTTTTAAAAATACATAAAGCTCTTGAAGCAATCTTTTAGATAGGAAATGGTAATATCAAGGGGGGCAGGGAAAGGAACATGATGACAGTGTGACGTGAGGTGATGTAAAACAGAGGGTTAAGCCCTGGTTGGTGTAGCTCAGTGGACTGAGCGCAGGCCTGAGAACCAGAGGATTGAGGTTCGATTCCCAGTCAGGGCACATGCCCGAGTTGCAGGCCAGTTCCCAGCAGGGGACGCATGAGAGGCAACCAGACATTGATGTTTCTCTCCCTCTCTCCTTCCCTTCCCCTCTAAAGATAAATAAATAAAATCTTAAAAACAAACAAACAGGGAGTTAATGCCTTCTGCTTCCCCTCATCTCTTCTCCCTTCTCTCTCCTATATTTCTTCTGCAAGGCACCATTATTATCTTTAAAAAAAAAAAAGATCAGCTGCCAGAGAAATGGCAATGGGTGAAGTGTGAAGGAAGAATGAGTCACTCCCTTTAATCCTTGCTGACAGTTGCACAGCACTGAGACCAGCCTTGGCTTCCCTGACCTCTTGAACTGTGAGGGTAAAGGTGAAATTATACCATCGGGTCAACCCAATGCTTTCCCGGCAGGCTAGCGAAAATTATCATCAGATAACATCTCTCATCCACTGGAATCGAAGTGAGGAAGAGGGCTCAGTTAGATGAAGTCTAAATGCATGTAGAAACCTACACGAACCTGCCTCTAACGAAGAGTAAGAGTGCAATTAAACTGCCCAAGTAGGGAGAAAAATAAAATCATTTCTTCCCTAACTCACCAAGAAATTTCGTATCAGTTTTTCTAAGATGGGAAATAAATTGACACGCAGTCATCAGAAAGCAGCATCTTTCCATCATCAAAATAATTCTTAGTCGCTCTTTTCAAAAGACAAGAAGACCTTACTGTTAATGCCCAGCCCCCAGGAGCTGCCCTCTCTTTGAATCTTATTCTCCTGCTATAAACTTGCTGGACTATACTTCTAACTAGGCCATTCCAAATACTTGGCTCAAAATAGAGGCCAGATTTCTCTCCTGGGGGGAAGAGGAAAATGACTACATTCTGCATATTGCTTTTTCTCCTTCTTCCAAAAACATATGTGTTCTTTAGACCAAAGTGGTTACCATAGCATCTCATTTTTTAAATGTTATGTATTACTTTATTAAAGGAAATTTTCATTTCTAAATGAACACGAAAAAAGATCTCACTCACCCGTGGTAAACATATAAGTGAGGTTTTGACACTTCAACAAACACCATCAATTCCCCCTGTGAAGTAACTGAAGAGAAATTGGCTGCTTTGGTTAACAGAGTGACAGGAAGCAGTTTTAATACCTGCTTCTAAGAGCACAAAGTCTCTTCTCCCACCCCTTCCCAAAAGGCTGAAATCCATAATCCTACATGCATTACAGAGTCACGGCATTTTAGAGCTTGAAGGGGTATTAGGGACCACCAAGTGAAGACCTTTTACCAAGGATGGAAAGGGGATCAGAGGGTTGGAGACACAGGGCTAGGAGGGTCAGAACCTCGGGTTGAAAAGGGCTGCAGTTGAAGAGAGGTCACCCGGAGCAGTGCATGTCATGTGCTTGACTCAGAGGCTTTGGACAGGGAAGAGGCTAGTTGTTGAAAGCTGGTGGGAGAAAAGCTCTAAAGAAGGCAGTCATTCTCTCAAGAGTCTATTCATTCTTTTATTATTAAATTAAACCTATTGGGGTGACATTGCTCAATACAGTATGTGAGTTTCGAGTGGACGGCCCTATAACACGTCATCTCTATACTGCCGTGTGCGCTCACCACCCAAAGTCTAGTCTCCTTCCTCACCGAGTATTAAGCCCTTTCACCCTCTTCATCCTCCCCACGTGTGTTTTCTTGAGAAAAGAAGTGCCTTCTGCTGGTGACTCCATCAGGACAGACGGCATCCGAAGTGCACTTCACCTCAGTGTCTCACCGAAGAGAAAGGCTTCTGCAGCATTTAAAAAAAATGTGGTCTCCAGCTCCGTTTTCCTCACCCCCACCCCCACAGCTCGCTCTCCTTCCTGCTTCTTGTTCTGTGGCTCCCCTCCGCTTTCCTCCTCCTGGAAGAAGGGTTAGTCACTTCAGTCACAGTTAGATTGAGATCAGAGCCATAAGCATCATCAGATATTCCATTTACCCTACTTACCTGCCTGTCTTTTTTTGGATACGTGTTTGCAGTCAGCAGTAATACACGTGGGAAATTGTAGGAAGGAAGCAGCAAATACATCCAGTTGACCTGGAGGAACATTAACACAAAGCAAACCTGGGTATTTCACATTACCCATCATGATGATGGTAGTAGTGGAACTGTTATGTTTTCAATGTTCAAACCATTTCTTTCCCACAAAAAAAAAAAAACCTTTTGAAGGCTCCCCATTAAAATGAAATCACACCATACAGGCAGTCAGAGCCTTCCATACTTTTCTCCAATTTACCTTTTTTGTATTATCAGTTCAGCCACAGGATGCTCCCACTTCTATGTGATACTTTTCCCCTTCCATGTCATTGTTCTCCCCAGGCCCTCTGTCTCAAATGGCCCCCCTCACATCTGCCCTTAAAGGCACAGGCAGTCTGCACGCCCCTGCTCTCCTGAGCTCTTGCTCGGCTCTGCTGTCCCTCCGCACTTGGGCACGTTTGTCTGCTTGTTGTGATACACGTGGCTGTCTCCACCGCCATCGCTACCACCCCCTCAGATTACAAGGAGACTTTAAAGAATACATTGACATTTGTCCCATATCACATGTAGCATATTTGCTAAGTGGTCTGCATTTTTCACTCTCTTGGCTACTCTGTACTCGGTTTTCCCACATTGTACATAGGACAGTGATTTGTGAGAAAACTGTGTAAATGCTGCATCTCCTATTGGATTGCAATTGTTTGTAGTCCTCAAAGCACCTCACACAGGGTGATGATGATGATGATAGATCTATCGCTTATTATCCCTATGGCTTACCTATGCCAGGCACCCCGTTAAGCACCTTATAGAAGTCACAACTCTTCACATCGTACATATTTCTCAAGTGCATGGTGCCGGTCCATATGGAGCTAAGCACAGCAAGTCACTGCCAGTGGCAGAACTGTGAGTCAAGGGCAAGCTAGCAGCCGGGAAACAGCAGTTAATGCTCAAAATACACAGTAGCTACAAGGGCCCTTGGATTACATCCTGCTTCTGCATTTACCAACTGAGCAACCTTGGGAAGTCAACCTGTTTGCAGTTTAGGTTCTTCATGTGACTAAGAGAGGATAATTCATCTCAGGTAAAAATGGGACAATATGCAAAGTACCTAGGACAGCGATGGGTATATAGTAAAGGCTCAATAAATAGTAGCTATTTATATTAGTATTCCATATAAGGCACAGTGCTAGGTACTATGAAGTATAAAGACCAGAAGTAAACAGATCAGGATGGTGGATCTCGTCCCTCCAGCCTGAAGGCAGAGGCCTGACTGCACATGCTCAGGGAAGGTCCCTTTGAGCTCTAGGCTGTGATTCTGCGCTTTGAAGTTGGCACTCAGAAGCCAACAACCACATGCCCCGGCCACATGCAGCAAGTCAGGATGGACGGTGGCCCAGTTTAGAGTTACCAAACCCTAAATGGTAGGGGTCAACACCTTTAAAAAGAATCGCAGGTAGGGAATGGCCTGAACAGGCAGCCTTGGTTTCTAAACTTAGGAGTTTCGGTTGCCATCTGTATTTTCATTGGAAGAAAAACCTCTAATTCAGCCTGAAGCTGCTATCATTAGTCATTCAAAGGTGTGGTATGATTTTGACTAGAAGCTGGACTAGAGGCTCCGTGCAGGTTTAAGAGCAGTTACACTGTTGTGGTTTGCCTAGCCCTTTTTATGAGTGTGTTACTAAAGAAACGTGAGCTGTTGGCTTTTCAATTACTGTAGCTCACCCCTCCTGAGTTTCATACACATTGAGTCATCGAGTCTACAGGTGACTGATAATCATCTGCACAATTCAAGTTACCGTAACTCGGAGCCGAGGGGATCTGATGACTTCGGGGTGTGTGCACGTGAAGATCTGAGGCTCTCCCATCTCCTTCACAGTGAACCATGGTCTGTGCTAACCGCAGAACTCGGTCACCTATTTCCACTCATCCAGAAGTTCATTTTCCTCTTCATGTTTTGCCTCTTACAACTTTAGCACTCAGCTGTTTTCTGAGAGGTGCTGCAGGTGGTCCAAGTTGTTCAACTGTAGGCCTGATTAAGTAAAGCCAACTCTTTTGAGAGAAAGGGTAAAAGCCGAGCTTGTGTTGTACCTGTCCCGCCCCAGAAACTTTCCGGAGCCTCTCTGCTGGGTGAACAGATGAAAAAAAAATGCTCAGTGACCTTTGGTATTGAGAGAGTTGAGTAGGGCCGGACACACTGGAAAATCATCAATTACCATGAAAAGGCCAAGAAACCAAAGTTCATCATTTCTGGGTCAACCTTCAGGGGAATGAACATCTGTGATCTTAGCTGGTTTTCCTGTCCTCAGTCTCATTCCTCCAAACAGCCTTAATCAAAGACACGTCCAACCCCTGACTGGTGGTTCAGTTGGTTGGGTGTCCTTCTACAAAGCAAAAGGTCACTGGTTTGAGCTCTGGTCAAGGCACGTGACTGGATTGCAGGTTTGGTCCCCGGTCAGAGTGCATGCAAGAGGCAACTGATAGATGTTTCTGTCTCACACCAGTGTTTCTCTCCCTGGTTTTCTCCCTCCCTTCCTATCTCTCAAAAAATAAATAAAAAATATATTTTAAAAAGTGATGTCCAATCTGGAAGCTGAAAATAAGGAAGAACCATTGGTCACTTTGTCAATGGCTTTTTGTTGAGTAGCCAAGGCAAGGTGTTTTCTTTGCATGTTTTCTCTCCCAGGTATTTGTCTAGAAACTATCAGGTTGGCCTTAAGGTAGTGAGGGTGCAGGCCAAGTTCATTTGATTACATTAAATCTTTTAGCTGGTCTTTCTGGCTCCAGTTTCTCACAGTTCTGGTTCATCTTACACATGGCTGTTACATTAATATCCTGAAAATAATTTATCTTAAGATTTAATTTATTTTTGGAGAGAGGGGAAAGGAAGGAGAAAGAGAGGGAGAAAAACATCGATGTGAGAGAGAAACATTGATTGGGTACCTCTCGTAGGTACCAGACCGGGCATCAAACCTGCAACCCAGGCACGTGCCCCAGCCAGGAATTGAATGGGCGACCTTTGCCCTGTGGGATGATGCCCAACCAACTGAGCCACAGCGGTCAGGGCCTGAGACTAATATTTCGACCACAAGCCTTTCTTGCTCAAGGGTATGCAGTGGTTTGCTGTTTGTTCAAACACGAACCTTATGGTCGACTGTTCCAAATGCCATGGTGTGGTCCCACTATGTGTTATCTTTTTCAGCGTCTCCCAAAGGCCCACGTTTTTAGGTCTCTTTCAATCTCCCTGATTATATCAAGGAGAAAGACTGAAGCTAATTTTGAGGCTAGTTGTTTAACTCTCGCCCCATATTTGGTGATCTCTGTGTTGGACAAAGAGAAGGGGGATCTTTGTCTTAAGTGCTCACAGTGGTGGCTGATCAAAATCGGATCAGTTGCTCTATTTCATCGGCTTTATTTTTCACAGCTACTTTCTATTTGTGGCAAGTGATTCTGCTTTTCTGTTTATGTCAGTGATGCAAAGTTTCCTTTTAAAACCAGATTTATTTTAACAAAAATAAAAGGAAGGAAGGGAGAAAGGAGGGAGGGGAGGGAAGAAGGGAGCGGGAAGGGAGGAAGAAAATTCAGACTGATACAAACAAAACAAAAAACGCTGGCGTTTACCAAGCGTTTTCTGTGTGCCAGGCACTGGTCTAGGTGCTCACCAGTGACCCTGTGAGGCACTTGCGGTCACCACCCCCGTGTGACAGGAGGACACAGAGCTGCGGACAGTTTCAATAACTTGCTCAAGGTCATGCCACTGGTAATCGATGCGCGAGCATTGAACCGAGTGTGTGTGACCTGGTGCCCGCGCCACCAACCATCCGCCCTGCCCTAGTGTGTGAATGTTGCAGAATGTGAAGAGATATGTGAAGTTTGAAAAACACTTTCCTTCTTTTAAATATTTTATTTATTTATTTTTAGAGAGAGGGGAAGGGAAGGAGAAAGAGAGGGAGAGAAACATCACTGTGTGGTTGCCTCTCATGTGTCCCCTACTGGGGACCTGGCCTGCAACCCAGGCATGTGCCCTGACTGAGAGTCGAACCAGCGACCCTTTGCTTCACAGGCCCGTGCTCAATCCACTGAGCCACACCAACCAGGGTAAAAAAAACCCACTTTATTTCATATTTGTTGATATTAGCTATAGCCAGATGTTTTTATTCTCCCTGCTCAAGGCCCACTTCTCTGCCTTCATTCACGCTCCTTCCTCAATGAAGCTGTCTTGTCTGCTTCTCTGAAAATCTAAATCCTACCATTTCAAGACTCTTCTCAAAATTTAGGTTTTCTGAGCATGATTTCTCTTCCCGAGTGCTCCTAAATTTTTGCATTCCTTTAACAATTAAGTAAACACTTTGTGCCAAACCACCTTGTTCTTGCCTTTATAATCCTTTTTTTATAGAAGATGTATTACTCTCCTGCTTAAATGCCTCAAACACGGCCCTTGGAATAAAATCAAAAGCCTCCACAGGGAGCATCCCTTTCACAACTTTCCGCATTTCTTCTTCTCCAGTTGCATATATACGGGTCTTATTTCTCTCCCGATAGATCACAGAGACCTCAAGAAAAAGGAATTGGTTCTTCCAGTCCTTTGGCTTGCTTATGTTTTTCTCATTACTAAACCCTGCACTGTACAGGGGTAACACACGCCTAGGAAATGCTACAGAAGAGAGGATATGGTCTCCAGAACAATGAAAGCATCAGCAATAACCTTAGGCCCCCTTCTAGCCCTTGACAACACTTTTCCCACTTTCTCTTCCTTCCACGAGTCGCTCACCGCTCAGCACATCTGCCGTCGCTGCAGACCCTGCTCTTGCCTTCCCTGTGGCCAGAGAGCCTCTCTGTTTTGTAACACACAACACCCACACACCCTGAAGGTGGCTAAACTATTTTCAAAATTTCTCAGCAGTTTGACATGAGAAGGAGGAGAGGGTGACCACAAATAATTGTTTCAGTTAAGTGTGAGAGAGCTCCTAATAATCACATACGTTATCAATGGTACACGTTTTTTTCGAGCAAAGGAGTCGCCCACTTTATGAAGGGGACAAAGATCATGCTCTCTCATCAAGAAAGCTCTTCTAAAGCTTTCTCTATTTGAAGCTCTTTGGCTTAAATCTCAGTCAGTCTGGTGACTGATGTGTTTGGGGCGTGGCAAGTGGAGGGAGTTTCTGAGGCTATTTTTCCTACCCCTGTACCATTTTAAAAGCTGCAGGCCAGTCACAGAGCACCCCACTTTGGGCAGTACTTCCGTGCCCCTGGCTCCCTAGTGTTACCAGCAGAAAATAACAAGCAAAATAGGAGTTGGAGGACTGTGGTGTCTTCGCAGTTCACGCACGGCAGTGCAGACCGCCCCCCCAGCTCCTGCACGGGGAGCCCCTCTGAAGCCCGTCCCCAAGCTCTCGTGCCTGTTTCCTCCACAGTTCCCCTCTGAGGTGAGCAGTGGGAACAGCGCGCATTGGCGTTTGAGCTGAACGGCGTCTCTGACTCGCCCCTTCTGCTGGCCTAATTCAGTCTGCCCAAATGTGTGCAGCCGACCTCTGATCCCTGAGACTCCAGCGCCCTTTGGAGCCCTTCTGCCGGGGCTGGGTGTTCCTGAGCAGAAAACGTGTCCTTTCTCACCTCCCCAAGACTCTGAAAGGTGATTGTATCCATCCTCTGCCTTTGTGTTTTTCCTTCGGTGACCCACCCTTTTTCTCTTGTTCTAGGTGAGAAGCGCCACTGCTTTGACGTCGGCTATAATCCCAGCTATATGTACGAGAAAGAGAGTGAGATAATCCAGACGCGGATGATGGACCAGGCCATCAATAACGCCATCAGCTATCTCGGCGCCGAGGCCCTGCGCCCCTTGGTCCAGACGCCGCCCGCTCCCACCTCGGAGATGGTTCCAGTCATCAGCAGCATGTACCCCATAGCCCTCACCCGCGCCGAGATGCCCAATGGTGCCCCCCAGGACCTGGAGAAGAAGAACGTGCTCCTGCCGGAAAAGAGCCTGCCCTCCGAGCGAGGCCTCTCCCCCAACAACAGTGGCCACGACTCCACGGACACTGACAGCAACCACGAGGAACGCCAGAACCACATCTACCAGCAAAACCACCTGGTCCCCCCAAGGGCTCGCAACGGGATGCCGCTGCTGAAGGAGGTGCCACGCCCCTACGAACTCCTCAAGCCCCCGCCCATCTGCCCGCGAGACTCCATCAAAGTGATCAACAAGGAAGGGGAGGTGATGGACGTGTACCGGTGTGACCACTGTCGCGTCCTCTTCCTGGATTACGTGATGTTCACCATCCACATGGGCTGCCACGGCTTCCGCGACCCTTTCGAGTGTAACATGTGCGGGCACCGAAGCCACGACCGGTACGAGTTCTCGTCGCACATAGCCAGGGGGGAGCACAGGGCTGCGCTCAAGTGAGAGCGGGCCTGCCGCCGGAGGTGTGCGCCTGCGCGTTCAACACCATCTTTAAAAAATGGTCCGCCCGCCTAGCGAATCACTATCAAAACCAGGCCATTTCCAGCCTCCTTTTTACACCACTTTTAGTATCCAAATGGTTCACGATGGCCAGAGAGGAATGTCTCCATTCAAAAGTTGTTTGTAGATAATACCATGTTACTACTTTTGTGAAACTCTTGTTTTCCCATTAGTGCCTTAAACTCAATGCCATTTAAAAGCCAATGAAGTATTTGGTCACTGTTTTCTGCATCGATAGAGCAAGCTTGCCTTGGAGTTTGTTGCTAGTCCCAAAGAGTCCTCCCGTGGTGCTGCCTGAGACACTCTTTCTGAGCTATGTCAGCCATACATGCAAAAAGCCTTTTGGTCCCGAGCCACACAGAGGAGTTGACCACCAGCCTTGCCCGAAAGCCCTGTCCTTCTGCACTTAACACAGGGCTGAAGGGTTAGGATCTAACCTTTCTGTCCCAATTAGAGTTTGATAGCAAGGAAAAGACTGGCCATAAAATAAATCTGTTATCAATAACTGAAGATTCAATCTTGGAGCACCACATTGATTTCTTTATCACATAAGCAAAAAAACAAAAAACAAAAACAAATCATCTGGTCATCATCTGCCTCTACTCTTCACTCTTGCATCTCCCATTGAAAGCTGCTTTGGGGCAAGGCAGTCTTCTAGGGGAGAAACTCTGTACCAGAAACACTGATGGTTTGCAGTACAGACAGACCGCCCTCGAAACTCGAGGGAGTTGCCCACCGTGAGCCATGGCATCTGTTTCCTGTCATCAGACCGGCAGTGCTGGGCCCTGAGGAGGAAGACGGCTCAGCAGCACCACCAGTGGAGAGAAAGCCAAACGCCTCCTGAAGCTCCTGGGCTCCTTCATGAAGTGTGCAGATCCAAAGCACACTTGGCAACCATTAAAAAAAAAAAGACTCCAGAGGGGAGGACTCAGGAATAGACAGCATGAGCGATAGCTCAGAGCCAAGCTTCACCACGGGGTGAAGAGGGGCACCTCTGCTGGCAGGTCCTTCATCCGGCGGGAGGTGGAGGGGCCTTTCTCCACGTTTTAAATGATGCTGCGGTGTTGCACCAAGATACCTGGAGGTCTGCTTGGGACAGTGGGGAGATGGGATAGTGGGGAATCATAACCCACCCCACCAGTCTTTCAACGTTGTTTCTGTAAACGCTGACTCTGACTAATACATAGCTTGTAGATAAATAGTATGTTTGTATAGGAATCCTAGGAACTAACTTCAATAGATACAGCCTCCAGCCTTCAGGCATCCCAGTTCTGCCAGACGTGCTGACCTTCAACCATGGAGCCAGGATGACACAGCCTAGACCTTCACTTGCCTTATCTCAATGGCCCCTGCTCATCTGCACACAGAGAACTTCGCAACCCCCTCCCTTGATCTCCTTGTCCTGCTTCCCCTCACCCTCCTTATAAAAACCTCTGCCTGTGCCGAGAGGTTGACATGGGCTTTGAGACAAGAGTCCCCCATCTTCCAGGGTGCCTGCCAGCACCTGAAAATGAGCCACTTTCCTTTACATCAGCACCTGTCTGTCTAGTATTAACCTGACCTGTGTTTGGTTATGATCTTGGTTCTGCAGATGGTTCTGGCCATCTTTATCCTTAATTATGGGAGGCATGCTCTCAAAAAAAAAAAAACAACTCTGTGATTAACTGTAAAGTGAGCACTGGAATGAATAGGGGTCACAAAATCCTTTTGTTAATTCCATGTTTGCTCCTCATTAGCTGTAGGACTTTGGGCAAATCACTTAACCCTTAAAACTAAGTCTCCTTAACCTTTGAATAAGAGTTGGATTTAGACATGCTCTAAGGTCCCTTCCAACTCTAAATGTATGTAATTATGCAGTAGCTAGCTGTTTCTTAAAGCTCTTGAGGTATGGGTATTAAATACCCATGAACATTTGAAAAAGTAAGCATTTATGCAGCATTAAGTACTAAGCAGAAGACTCTGTATATGAATATGTGTTTCACATATCTTTGGTGTGAAAATAGTAGTGTTAAGTTTTTCCTTTAACCACCGAGTTGTGAATGTGAAGAGGACGGTGGAGAGGAACAAAAAACAGGAAGGTATTTTGATCTTCCCCAAAGTGTATATACAAACCAGCACCTGCAGCTGCTTGCCAACGCCTCCCCCCACCCCCCCACCCCCCCCACCCCACCCCTGCTCCGTGAGAGCGAGTGTTCTGGAAAATAAGTTCTGCTTCCAGGGGCAGCTTCATGGAGCCTATTTACAAATTAAGGGTCAGCTTCGTGAGCATTTCTACCGGGGAGCCCAGAATCCCTAATTCCTTGCTAGATCAGCGTTTTATGTGTTTGCCTTGATGTTTCGAAAGGGTTTATGCACTAGGCTCCAACTCGTTTATGTAATTAAAATGTTCCACCTCAGACTGCACAAATGGCTTATCCCTCTTTGTAGCATGGCGTCTGTCTCAGGAAAAAAAGATTGTGTGAAATTCCATGGCAACAGTCCCAACAGGCTGGAGATTTCAGCTGAAAGACTAGATGTATTTCGGGTGTAGTCTTCAATGTATCACTGTGTTTCCATAATCCTAGACTCCAGGCTGCAGCCAGGTTCCTTATAACCCACTGTGAAAGAGGAGCTGCTTATTATATTCTGGAAATATCATGCATCCTGTTGACTCTTCAGGGGACAAAAGAATGAGGGTTGGGAAGCAAGGATTAGCAGGAAAGAAAGCCAGGGAAAGTGAGCGTTTCCGCCCAATTAGCGGGCAAGGCTTCACTGAAGGCATCAACTTTTGAACCTGAAGGTAATGAAACTAAGGCCCATCCCACCCACCTGGAGATGTTGTTTTGTCGATATGACCCTTATTTTTCCTGTGACTAATGGGTTTTCTGAATGATTTACAAAGGCTGCACTTTCACTGCAGGATTCTGAGCCTAGTGGGGGGCGCATCCAGTCAAGAGAAAATTCGTGTGTGGAAACTCCACATTCTTCAATCTTCAAGCTAAACTAGACGGTACCTAGTGGTTACCACCACGCAGGTAAACACTGCCTTCTGTAGGCACTGCTTATACCAACTAATGACCCCCACCCTCCTCTTCTGGGGCCGGGGGAAGAGGGTAAGGGAGAATCTTAGCAGATGCTCAGAGAAAAGGGCAAGGCTGGTTCAGGACTCCCATCTGACCCTGTTGGACAGGGTTCAATCCCTGGTCGGGGCACTTGAAAGAACCCCTGAACGCATAAGTAAGTGGAACAACAAATTGATGTTCCTCCCCCTCCCTCCTCTCTCTCTCTCTCCCCTCCCATCCTACCCCCCTTCCTCTCGCTCTCAAATCAATCAATACTTTTTTTAAATAAAAAATAGCCCCTGGCTGGTGTGGCTTGGTTGGTTGGAGCATCATCAGTGCACTGACAGTTTTCAGGTTCGATTCCCGGCCAGGGCCCATACCTACGTTAGGCGTTCTGTTCCCAGTCAGGGCGTGTGTGGGAGGTAGCCAGTCAATATTTTCTCTCTCGAATCGATGTTGCTCTCTCTCTCTCTCCCTTTCTCTCTAAAAGCAATGAAAAACAAAGTGTCCTCTGGGCAAGATTTTTAAAATTTTTATAAACTTTATTTTTTTTTAAGTTTTAAGTAAATAAACAAATACTGAACTTAACATTTTGCTAGGAGGCCCAAGCTCAGTTTGGCCCAGATATAAAATGACCTCAGGGGTTTTTTTGGGGGGGGTGTTGCAAAGAGAAATTCTTATAAACAAAATGGTACTGAGTTGAAATACTGTATTATTAACAAAGCATAGTTTCCCCCATTAGCCTCTGTATCACTATCCTTATTCTTCTCTGCTAAATGTGAGCTTTAGAATGTTTTAAGAGGGGAAGGCAGTACTTTTGATACATATGCCAGGCTGGGCAGTAAGGCCGTCAAACGTTCAATCTTTTAAAAAGTCCTTAACTTTTACAGACTGTCCCACTGGGAGCAGGTGTCTCGATCTCTAGTGGAGATTTGAAAACTCAGGGAAGCTCAGGAGTCGAGCCCTCGGACAGACGAGGCTAATCTCCTTCACAAAGACTCAGAATCAGGACTCGTGAGCTCTAGAAGAGTAAACAAGTCGGGGGATGAAAATCATGGCCCTTCACACAGCATCAGGCTGTGAAGCAGATAAGAGGCATACGATGATACATCTTTTTAAAAATTTTTATTGAATTTACTCGGGTTGCATTTGTTAATAAAATTATATAGGTTTTAGGTGTACAGTTCTATAATACACCATCTGTATGTTGTACTGAGTGTTCACCACCCAAAGTCATCCCCACCCCACCCCCTTTGCCCTCTCCGACCTCCCCCTGCCCACCCGCCTTGCCCTCTGCCAATCGCTGTACGTTTGTCCGCATCTATGATACGGTGATAGCTCTTCTCTCTTAAAGAATTGGGAGCTATTTTTGTGCTCAGACAGAAAGCATAGTTCAGCATCTATATTCAGAATTCAGAAAAAACAATGCTTAGAGATTTAAGTGCCTATAAAGAGGACCATTATGACCTGACACCACAGGCTAGACTTGGGCCAGCCCAGGGGAGGGACTCTGTTTTCTAAAGCAAAAGGACCACACTGTGATCAGTGAACTCAGAGTTGGGGGCTGCTGCCTCTAAGGACTGTGGACCCGGAGGGAGTTGTAGGTATAACATGTGTGAGCTCATAGCCCGAGACTGTTTATCCGAGCTGTATATAGTCTGTACCTCACGTACCATCAATCTGCTAAACAATGGTTTGTGCTCAGAAGAAACTGAATACAAGTTTCTTCTAAGCACATGATACTGGGCTGAATACAAGTTTCCTATAAGTACATTATATTGGGCTGTCTTATACGTTGCTATTGAGTTATTTGACCTTGGAATGTTAATATTTTGATTTAAAATATTTGATTAATAGGTCCTGCAAACCAGAGGGTTGCAGTTCGATTCCCAGTCAGGGCCCATGCCTGGGTTGCAGGCCAGCTCCCAGCAGGGGATGCACGAGAGGCAACCACACATTGATATTTCTCTCCCTCTCTCCTTCCCTTCCCCTTTAAAGATAAATAAATAATTAATTAAAATGTTTTTTTAAATATTTGATTAATAAATAAAAGGATGTTATGCGGTTTTATCTAATTTTGTCTATGGGGTGTTTATGTTGCTTTTTTTTCCCCCGAGGGGCAAGGGGTCTATGCTGGAGGGTTGCACCTTTTCCACTCTATGTACCGCATCTGTATTTAAAGACATGGAAAGCATTCAAAGGCCATACTCGGGCCATCATAGTAATTCAGTTGCTAATGGAGGCAACTGATCTCTAACACGCAGCTTCCTTCATGTTGCTTTAGTGCATAGGAGTAAAGACTATGCAGAAGCAATGTGCATTAACCACGTACTTCAAGTACTTCACCGCATGACAGCCAGGGAGGTAGGCTAGCTTCGCTCCCTCGCTGTCCTGTGAGCCTCGGCCATTAGTTGTCCAGGCAACTTCAAGTTTCTCCAAACGGTCCTCTCTGTCCCTCTCCCCATTGCCCCACTCCAGGAAGCCCGGTGAGCTGCCCATAAGGCCCTATTTCATATTCTCAACCTAAGTGCAGCATGTGCTTCTTCCTCTCTTAGGAGGGCTGAGGGCATTTGGACATGTCTGGAAAACGGGGCAGCCTTCAAGATGACTGATCCCATTGTCAGCGTGACTCATGCAGGCAAGGACTTTTCCAGGTTAGCAGACGAGGCCCTTTTCGGTGGGCCTGCTCCTGTGGGTTCACAGAAACCAAATTACTGTGGGTTGCAAAGAATTAGCAGGTCATTTGAAAAGCAGACATCCCTTCACCCAGACTGTGGTTTTACATGCTCAGGTTCTCAGTCTGTGAGCTTTGGTGAGGGATCATTTTGGCTACTGGAAAAACCAGGGCGTATTTTTAATTTCTGGTTGCCAAAGACACCTCATGTGTGGTCTGTGGATGACCCCTGTCTGCAAAATGACAGGGGAGGGAGGGGACGTGGTTTGGGGCTCTCGGCAGCCTTTCCACCAGGAACGAGGGAGGGAGGCCTTGCTGAGCTGTGTAGACACAGCCTGTGCTCACAGCGTTCTCGTCTGGGTTTCTCGGAAATGCCCTCCCTGCCCAGCAGTGGCCTTCCCTCTGGCCCCCTCTGGAGTTTTCCCCAGAGGGCCACCTTTGGAGCTCTGTTGGGTGCCCTACTGTCCAGAAAGAGTGGGCAGAGCCAGCTTCTGAAAGGCAGCCATGCTGACCTTGCTGGAACCATCCTGAGTGCCTTCCCGTACCAAAACCAACCCTGCTGATAGTTTTCAAGGTGTCTTTATCACATTTGATTTTCACAGTGAAAAATTTTTTTTAAATACGGGTGTGTTTAAAATTCGGCCTTGTGCCTGACCATCATTTGTAGCTGCTGCTGTCAGAAAATGGAAGGGCCTCATTCTGCCTCTTGGAGCACTTCCCAGTTTAGCCCCTTCTCCCGGGCTATGGCTTAAAGTCCAAGTACCAAGATGAACGGAATTGTCACCAAAATAAAGCATCTCACCAGAGACCTTGCTGAGCCTGCCAGTGATACGCTGCTGCTGGCCCGTGTTCCCACAGTGAGGTTCTCGTTCCCCTGCTCCTTAGTCGTGAAGGCAACTTGAGGAGTTTGGGGCCCGGGTGGGACAGGATCAGTAGATCAATACATTGAACACAGTGTCTTCCAGTTAGTTCCAGGACACTCCTCCGCCCTCCCTCCCAGCAGGGATTCTTCCTAAAAGATAGGCAGGTCCTGACTTTTTCATCCCCATCCCCGGGGTCTCAGGAACATCCATCCACGTTGGGGAACTGGAGTCACAGTTGACTCATCGTCTTTAGACCCCTGGAGGCCCATCCCTACGGTGCTGGCAAAACTCCCAGGAGAACGGCATGGGGACTGCACAGTTTCCTTCCTGCCTGGAAGTTTTCTCTTAGAAAATAGCAGAAGAGAATCCAACAGGTGGTCTGGGCTTCTGCTCGGCCTCTTGAAAATCGCCTTCCCTCTCCCCTCCTGTGGGGAAGAGGCAGGAGGAAGACATTTCTGGGGTTCAGGATTAGCGAACTCGGGGAGGCCGGTGGATGGCAGCGCTCACTGGCTTTACCTTCAGCACCACCAGACAGGTTGGATGCCCTCCAGCAGGTTTCTCCAGTCTCAGCACTAAGGGCAGAGAGAGCAGACTGGGCCGGTCTTTGTATTGTAACATTGAATAGATTTCAAAATGGCCTCGAGGTAGCTGCTTCTCAGCTTTGGAGAGAATAGTAGGTGGCCGTCTCCAACCCCATGCCCCTCTCAAAGCTCAGGGAGAAAGGGGAGACAGGGACACTCGGATCTCCTTGGCCAATGAGCAGTGGAGAGAGATCCACAGGCGGCTGGGGCTCCCGCTGCAGCTGAATGAACTTCCAGCCTGAGGATGGATCCTTTTCTAATTCTTAGGAACTAGTTTGATGCTTTAGAGGGCTGCCCCACACCTGCACCCTCCTCCTCCCCCATCACTCAATGCAACCAGGCCATTCACAGAGGCTGTGGTGCCCAAACCTCCACCTGCAGGCAACTGCCACCCAAGGGCAGGCAGCGGGACATGGATTTATCCGTCTTCCCTGCCTCCCACCTCCCCACACCCAGAGTTTGAGGCAGAGTGGAGCGGGGAGCTCTGGGAAGGCTGAGGGGTGGTGGAGGGGTACTTGCCGCCCAGGACACAAGTTTGGGCTGCAGAGCATTCCAGGGTCAGACAGTTGTTTGCATAAAAGCCAAAAGCCACTGCACCTGGGGTGGGGAGGCCCTCTGGGGAGGTACTCCCTGGCTTGGGGGAGAGGGGGGAAGGAAGGTGTCATGGAAAGTCCCTGAAGGACACGGGGTGTTGAATTTGCTGCGGTTTTGTTTTTAACTCCGTCTTGACCTGTGAAGTAGGCAGCTGCCTCCCTTCCCCCCAAATAACAGACCTTCCCCCAGAATAACATGAACAGACCCAAGGAAAGAGCGCTGCAGTGGAAAGAATGGAGGTTAGAGGGCCTGTGGGTGATGTCAAGTGCCCCCCTTCCCCGGGACTGAGGGGGCAGGAAGCCCCAGAGCAGCTTTTCCCATCACCTCCCTTCCCCCCTCAGCCCTCTGGCCCCCTAGCCCCAAAGAGCTACCCAGTCAGATAAACCACAGCCCTGGGGGCGGCTGATGGATGGGAACTGGGGGGGGGGGGGGGGGCAGGTGTCACCTCCTCCCCCAGGCTCATCCTTCCACCGCCCAATCCCCATGCCACCCCCACTGGAATTACATTCTCAGCACTCCTCCTCCCTCTCACTTGCAGACCCTCACTGCCCTCCCAGGATGTTCGTGTTGGCGGAAAGCAGGCAGCCAGCGACCCCAGAAAAGCTCTGAAGCCTCAGTAAAGCCGACGTCTGCCTGATGCAGACTCCACTGGGCACGAGGACCCCTGGGTTCCTGTTCCAGCCCTGCCACTCTGGGGAGGGAGGACCCTGGGCTCCTTGCTTTCCCTGTCTGGGCCTTGACTTCCCCCCGGAGTCGGGTCTCCGAAGTCCCTTGCAGCTGGGACACAGCCTGGTATCAGCCCCACTGCTCCAGCCGGGCCTCTCCTCTAACTCCAGAAACAAGAACAGCCGGGGAGGCCCCCTCCCTCTTATGTCTCTGCCCACCAACTCGGAGTAGCTGGAGCTAAGGGTGATGGCGGCCTGTGACCTTGCCAAGTGGTCACTTGTTTAGCCGTCCTATGACATCCCAGCCCGGGCCCACAGCGGTGCAGGGGACAGGGAGGTGAGAGCGGGAGGCTCTGAACCCGAGTCTGAACGCTGGGCCCCCGTCCTCTCTCGGGATCTCCTCCTTCTCCGCGAACCCGGTCTCCAGATTCCCGGGGTGGGGGTGGGGGCGCCTGAGAGAGCAGAGCTGAGGCCGCGCGAGGGGGGGAGGCGGCGCGAGGTGGGAGCCGAGGGGGGTGTGAGGGGAGGGGCAGCTGCACTTCTGAGAAACAGCTCGGGCGCCTCGGCAGCCCGCAGCCTAACCCCCCGCCTGCGGCTTCACAGCTCGCTCCTCCTGCCGCCCACGCCGCTCGGGGCCTCTCCGGGGGTCGGCAGCCCCTGCGGAGGCGGTGGTGGCAGGGAGGAGCGGCGGCTCGGGGGACGGCGGACTGGAGCCCACGGGGGGAGGTGGAAAATGGGGGGGGGCGTGGGGCGCGTGACCCCAGGAGTGAAAACCCGCCGCCCGCTCGGGGCCGCGGGCGCCGGACCCCGGCCCTTCCTCGGGACCCCCTCCACCCCCACCCGGTCCTCTCCCAGAACCCCCGGGGCGGGATCCAGAAGTGAAACCGCGCGGGGTCACAGCCCAGCGCCCCGCCCCGCCCTTCCGGGCACTGCAGCCCCGCAGGATCTCCCAGCGCTCGGGCGACGGCAGGGAGGAAGCCGGGGAGGGGAAGAGGAGGCGCCCCGCGGGATCGTCTGCACGGCGCGGCCTTCGCGCCTGGGGGTGCCCGCCGGTAACCACTAGCGGGAACCTCGAGAGGCGCCGACCTTTCACCAAGAGAGGCAGAGGCGCCTGCACTTCCCGTCGCCGCCGCTGGGTGTCACTGCCGCCGCGCAGCTGAGCCGGCCCGGGAGCGGTGGGGAGGCGCGGGCGCGGGTCTCTGGGAACTTTTGCCTGGACTTCGGCCTCCCCACGCAACCCCCAACTCCCACCCCGGACGCCCCACGATGCTTGGATGCGGCGCTCAGACCCCTTTCCACACTCCTGGTCTCTAAAGGCCGTTCCCCAGCCAATCGACTCTCAATGGACAAACTAAACCCCTAGCCCTAAGACCCGATGGGCCCCTTGCCCTGTCCTGGCGCTTCACCCCCCACCCCGGCAAGCGCGCCTCCTGGAGAAGGGGATGGCCTTCCAGTAGCAGAGACCGAGGTGGGTGGCTCTGCTGGGCGGACGCACGCAGCCCCCACCCCCCCCCGACAGCCCAGTGCCCCTTGGTAGCAGCAACCACTGGCAGGTCGGGTTGTTCCAGAGGGAGAGGAGGATGGAAAGGCGGGCAGCGGGTGCAGATCACCTTCCGCACGCGTTTTGATGCCAGAGTGACTGTGGGGTGGGTCCCCCGGTCCATCCTCACTCCCATTCCAGGCTCACCTGACTCAGGT